CCCAGCAAAACAAGTCAGCCTCCCATTACCCCGAGCAGGGGAGAGAGGAGATCAGAGAGACCCAAGAGAAGCTTTCAAGAGCAGCAAACCAGCGAGGATGATGCTCAGAAGAAACGGAAGGAAAGTTTGGGCAAAAAGGATTCACGGAGAGATGCTGACATGCTGCAAACAGTAGAAATTCGCAGCGACACACAGGTAAGGGAAATATACCTTCTTTGCTTGGGAAAATGCAGTCATTTAAATTTTAGTCTGGCCAGTCAGATTCTCAGGAAATTTGCTGCCAATGCCATTGATCACTGGAAAATTGATCTGCCTGAATTCCCAAGACAAAAGATCTAAAAAAAAAAAAGAAGGTAAAAACATACCTGAAGTCAAAATGTATCTTGAGACAGCCAGTAGGTGGCAGTATTAGTCTGTGTTTCCATGCAGACTTGTACATCTGGCAGCTGGTACAGAACATATGTCCCCTCTTGATGAATTTTAGTAATTTGGCTCTTCTTTAATTTTTCATTTAGCTCCAGCAGGTCTTTTCTTTTGTCTAATAACCTGGTTTATTGTCAAAATAGCTGTGAACCCCCCACTTTTTTTTTTTTGCTCGAGCTTTGTGTGCATCAGTATTGGTAGCATCACTATAGGTATCATCAGATTGTGCCTTCATTAAAGTTTCTCCCCCTATCTCCCTTCTCCATCTCATGATTCCTTCCTCCAACAGCCGGTGCATCTCAAGCCGCTCCATGTTCTTCAGTGCCACAGCAAACAGGACAGCTTAGAGGACTTCTCCACCCAGCTGTGGGCCTGTGCTTTCCAGCCACTGCCTGATTCTGCTGGTATTGTTTGAATACACGTTGAAAAACAGTTGCAGGGCATCTCCAAGTCAAACAAAGCTTTAAGGATTAGAAGAAAGAGATTTGAAAGTTGTTTTTTTTTTTTTGTAAATGTGGGATTAAACTCAGGCTTTTTATCTTTATTAACAGGCAACGCTGGAGGAAGTCGTTTGGTCGCTACTTGTGGAGGAGACTCTATCTGTTTGATTGACTGTGAAATGGGGATGGTGATGAAGAAGTACAAAGTTCCCGGGGAGGTATGCTCCATTTATTCGGATTAGTCTGCAGTACTTAGGCTTTAAAAACCTGAATTTTCTCTGTCTTTTGCTCAGACTCGTAGGATACTTGGTTCATAATGGCAAGAAAACAATAAAGCTGTTGCTTTCCTTTACACCAGGAGTTCTTCTCCCTGGCCTGGACTACAGTGCTGATGTCCAGAGGAGGCAATGCTTCAGCGCAGCACTGCAGCATTCTTGCAGCCGGTGGGAAGAGAGGGATAGTCAAACTGATTCATCCCAGAAACAACGTGGCCTACGGAGAGTTCAGAGCCAGCCGAAAGGCGCTGTCTGTCCTCCGATTTAACCACCAGCAGGGAAACTTCCTCTTCAGTGAGTAATTAATTACACAAACTCAAACCATAATAGCGAGTATGGATAAAAATGCGGAGTTTAAAGTTCTGACAGAGAATCAGATGGTTTGTAAATAAATCTTTTGTCAGGCTTAAACTTATAAAGAGAAAACAAATGAATAGCGAAGTGATTACCCATGTCTGTTGTAATCATTTACCATTGTTTACATATTAACCTCTGCTTCAGCTATGATCTGATGTAGTGTAATTGTCCAGTTAGGAATTATTACCACCTCTTTGAATGTTTGCTGGACTGTTTTCTGCTCATGTTTTTCTCTCTGTTAGATATATTTTTTAAGGTTTTAGGGATCTGATGCCGTTTGTAAATAGTTGGCTATGGAAAGTGACACTCCTGTCTCTATGTTCTAGTTGTATTCTTAGCTATGCCTGCTCTTAAGTCCTCACATCTCACTGACATTGCTTTAGCAATAATTTGCTCACCTGTTAGAGTAGTGGGCTTTACATAGTTTGATTTGCTCTTGTTTAAAGTGGGTTACTTGTAAAGTAACACCGCCTCAACTTCTGTCTTGTAGCGGGATCGTACGACAACAAGATCTTGATGTGGGATATCGGCGGGGTGGACAGCCAGTACAACTTCAAAGTTGTGTGAGTCTTTCTGCCAGGAAAAGTGTTTGCGATGCAATTTCTTTAGCAGATCACATCTGTTGTACTGAATTTTCTAAAATATATAATTGTTCATCAATAATACATTTTTAAATATATTTTTTATGTTTTTTCAAACTGCTACCATTGACATTAAGATGAAAGGTTCAGACTGTGATGTTGAAAATTTGCTGTTTGACCCTCCAGTCAGCTGCTGGTATTGGAAATCGGTACCACCCCTCTGCACATCTGCTTGCCCCCCACTGCTCCCAGTGCACACCTACTGACTGCCTGTGAGGACGGCTTGCACTGCTACAACACACAGCTCGGTGCCAACAACACCAGTAAGAGGTGAGATTTGAATCTCTCCCAGTCTACCTTTTATTCTGGTGACAGTCAGTGACCTAGACTATACTGACTCACTATATCTGTTCACTGATGTTTTAATGAGAAAACTATGAATACATATGTGGCCCACCCAGAAACAATTACAGTGTTTTTGTTTTTATCTCCTTGGTAGGTCAAAAGAAATGGAGATAACTTTCCCCATATACAAGAAGGAAGACAAAGACCATGACTACCACACGGTGGACGGCCTGAGTTTTCTTAATGATGACATAGTGGGTAAGTATACCACAATACCACTGTAGTTTTATTTACAGTGCCTTTAAACACATGCCACTCTGAGCTGGAAACATTGACTCATGCTGGATATAATTAGACCTTTCAGCGATGCTCGGCGTTGGCAGTCAGTCCAGGTTGGTCCTGACTTCATTTAAGTTTGAGGATCTGACTCTGGCACTCTGTAGTGTCATAGTCTCACTGTACAATATCAATCGCCTTGAGGTGACTTCTGTTGTAAATTGGTGCTACATAAATAAAATTGTCTTTTTTTCCCTAATCTTTTGCGCGCTCTGTCAATTATGATAGCATCCAAGAACTACCTGTATGGTTGCATCTACCTGTGGAGCTGGAGCAGGACCAAGGTTCAGCGGCCTGACAAGAAGAGCAAAGCAGTGCGTGCTGTGGTTCTGGCTGAGCTGCAGTGGACCAACACTCAGATTCCCTACCTGGCTCTCAACACCTGTCCTGGTAAGTTCACCTCATCTCGTCAGTTCTGATGCATTTAACATTCAGTCATCATTTCAGGTCATCATCAGTGTAGACAAAGGCAGTAAGCTCATTAACTGCCATCTTCCGGTCACCACAGATATTTTGGGAGCTGGGACACAGAAGGACAGTCCAGACTGGGTCTGAAGCCACTCCATAGTTGCCCTGACTGTCGGCTTTACCGTAGAACTGGATGTTTTCACTTTACAATCTAAATTACGTTCCAGGGTTATGATTTTAACCCTCCAGATTGTGGTGAATCAGATAAATAAAACATTCTAAAGCACAAATAGATGAGTGCACACCTCCACCGAAGCCACACACTCAGACCTGCAGCTCTGAAACAACAGAGAGGACAGCTGATGTAACTCAATCACTCTATGCTGTGAACTAATTTAGAAGATCTTGAAATGCAGACAGCTAATGACCTGAAGGACTTTAAAGGTCATTTAAAGGTTCCTGGTAGTAACTTGTGAAAAACTACTTTAGTGCTTAGACCAAGAACATCACAGATACTCACCACGTGTACTTTTCTGTGTTCTCATTCCTATCATTAGGTCAAGCCTACATGGTGTGCGGTGATGACAAAGGCAAGATATGGACATACCACATCCCCAACCTCCAGAAAAACAGCTTCCACACTGGGAAACCCATACTGCCCACTGAGGTATCTGTAATCTCAGACAGTAGCTTTCTCTTACGATTCTTGTTTAGAGAAATATCGATTGTTTTTTTGTTCTTTTTTTTTTCTAAAAACGAGTCTATTAAATTAGTCTGGGAGGTAGTTGCAGTCAGACAAAACAAACTCTCAGATTAGTGAACGTTATCCTAATCATCGTTGTCCTTGTTTTTGCTCTCTTTTACTTTTATGTCTTATTAAAGTTGTTTCACAATCTTAGCTCTGAAAAGTGAAAACACATGGAGCTTCATCCGCCCACTTGTTTGTTTTCCAGCTGGATTTCTGGTGATGTCACAACATACCCAGATCTCAGCACTGGGCTGAAACATTGTCCTTCATGTGTGAATCCACTGAAGTCCCGTAAAGAGAGTTTTTTTTGTCTTGCACTCACAAGACATTTAAATTTGCAGAAGCAGTTAACTGTGTTGTTCCTAGAGAAATACACGTGCACAGGAATGCACACAGGAAGCTTACAATAGATAAACACGGGCCATTCAAGTATTATTTTAGCTTCAGCATAATTTCCTCAGATTTTGTCTGCATCTCTGATAACAGATGTGTGCAACCACCATAAATATGAGAGATCTGAGCTGTGTAGTTGATTTTTGTTTCATTTTGGAAGATTACACAATGACCAGCTCCCACATATAAACACAGGATTATCGTGCACAGGAGTGCCTGTGCAGGCCATTAAGATAACGTAAAGGATGGAGACATTTTAAACCTACATTTCAATGAAATAAATGTCACTCTCCATCTTCACTCTTTAAAGAGAGCTCAGTTTGCTTGCCTCTTTCCGCCTGCACATGAAATGTAAAGACTAGTGATTTGAGACTTCCGAAGCTTCACGTCGGCCACGTGTAATGAGACTAAACTTCAGATGCATTTCACTTTTCTCTCCACTCAGCACTAACATGTTGTTTGTTTTTGGCAGGTGTTGGAGTGGCCGACCCCAGTTAAGAACGGCCACGGCAAGGTAGAAGGCCCCTCCATCAACAGCGTAGCCATGGACCCTGAGCTATGCTATCTAGTTGCCCTTAGTGACAAGAATATGGTGATAGTGTGGAAGAGAGAGGAGTCGCCCTGAGCAACCATAGACTGCACAGCCATAAAGAATCTGAGTGGTGCCCCATTACTGAAAATGTGCACATTCATAATTTGCGAGTGTCGATGCTACATCAGCATCTAAAAGCATCACAGACTGAAGAACAAAAGAACTTTTTACTTTACTTTTTTTTACACAATAATGTATTATGTGGAGTTTAAACATAAAACTGTAATTTTCAGATGTTTTTATTTTTACTTAAAGTTGCTGCTGTTATGAGTTATAGGCGATCATAGCTAGGTGACTTTGACTGTGACAGAATTATCCGTTGATTTGTCCAGAATGGACAGAAACGGCTCCATTTAGATCTACATGGTTACAATAATCAACCGTGGACTTCAAAATTCAGCTGATGACTGGATTTGTTTTCTTGTTTCTACTCCCTGGAACAGTTTCACAGTTTGGATGTGCAAACTTCAGTGTAAAAGTACAAGCGAGCCCAACGTTAACAAAGCCATTTAGCTGGTTTAAGTTTAACTTGAATTAGTTAAAGCTTTGTTAAACTTTTTTTTAGCAGATCTGTGTGTAATGTCAGAACGGTCACGAGTTCGTGTCAAAGAATTATTCCTAACTTTAATGATGTGTTGTGGTAAGGTCTCACCCCTCCATCACCCTTGTTTCCACCAGTAAGGACCTGGTTTTTGCAGAAAAAGCAGTCCTAGCACACAGCAGATTGTGACTCCACATAATAAGACTGCTCAGTGTCTGCAGGATGTTTTAAGGGCTACGGTTTATCCACATTTTCACTGTAACAAACTTCATGTTTCACATTAAATTGGTTCATTCAGATTTAAGCCGGCAGAGTCTGCGGCTCGTTTCTTTTTTTGAAATATATGCTTTGTTGATAAGTATAGTTTTTGAATGTGAATGATTGAGGCTTTTATTTTCCCGTGCTACTTTTTAATGATCAGATAACACTGAAGAGTGAAACTGCTGAAAACATTTACTTTTCTGAATACTTCTCATGTCGGTGTGCTTATTGTGTTTTTATGCTTTAAAGCAGAAAGTGAACTGTTTTTCTATTTAATTAAAGAAGTTTTTAGCTTGCTTCTAACTGCTTTTGGCTTTTAAGTGTATTCTGTTGTTGAATCAAATGTCTGAATTCTTAAGAAGTACAGCAAAGATGTAAACAGGTTGTTCTGTTGTACCTGGTATTGACTATTCTCATTTTAACCACTTGGTGGCTGGCATGATTGTTTGGAAGGAATTTACTTGAAGGGTGCTTGCTACCCACTGTGCCCAGTAATGTATATGCTTAAAAAACAAACAATAAAAACAGAAGATTTCATTACAGAATCATATGTTTGGAAAAGGGGTTCAAAAATTAGATGAAAAGAACCACTCAGCTTATTTTACTGGGAGTACTTTGGTGCTACAAGGAAGAATGGATTCAATTACACAAATGATTTCCAGGAGTAAACATTGAAGTATTTGTAAAAGACAAAGATGAAAAGAAGAATGCTTCAAGAAGAAAATGTTCCAAAACTATGAAAAATCTACAATGGACCAGCTCAGAAAGTGTAAGATGAAGGTTTTAACGTGACTCTCCCGGTCCACAAACCTAAACAATAATAGGAAATCTCCTAAAGGTGTTCTGAGACTCCTGGGAACCCAAGACTTTGGCAGGGATGGCTGTAAATTCTCTACACAAGAATCAAAAGACTTGCTGCTACAAAAAAAAACTTCCCCAAACAAGTTTTACTGAGCAGGTTATCCAACCATGCAGGATGTCCAAACTTTTACCTCAGACTTTTGTCCTGTTTTGTCTTCATAGGTCAGCAGAGTCCCTTTGTTAACAGTTTAGAAAGAATGCACTCTTGTATTAATTCAACCACACTTCATGTAAGGCTATATGAGTGCAAAACAAGACTGAGTCTTTCTCTTCACCTTCAGTGTTTCTGCCCTAGTCATCTTCCTAACATTGAAATATAGCAGGTATTAAGAAGTGCCCTCTCACCAGTGGTTTGAAAAAAATCTACACAATGATGACACATCATTCTTTATTATTCATCATTTCATTTTCTAACACCTATCCTGTGACACCTATTTTCGGCCCTCCTTCTGTTAGGACATGCCTGGAAAACTCATTTGGGACTCCCTCCCAAATTACTTATTAACTCCTCACCCTATCTCTAAGGAAGAAGCGATCTACCGTTTGGAGGAAGCTATTTTCTGGGATCTATGTATCCTAAGATCCCAGGGTTGTCAGGGGGCTTTTGCCTTTGGTAGGGTCTCCCAAGGCAAATCCTGGATGAGGGCACCATGAAAGATTAAAAAAAAAATGAAGGGACCTGTTTACTCTGGATTAGGGTTAGGGGGTTAGGGTTACTGGAGTTGCACTCTTGGGCCGGGTCTGGGGAAGGAGTTTAAGGGACAGGGTCTTCTGTGGGCTCACCACATACAGGATCCCCCATGAGGATTGGGTTCAAAGTGTGTTGGGTGGCAGTAAAAGGCAAGAGGCTGGGCGGTTCAATCCGTGGTTCTTGGGGCGGATTATTGGGACATTCTCTATCATTATTTACATTTATTTAACAGGAAGTGAAACTTGTGGGATTTGCATTTTTCACTTCTTAACAGGCACACAGCAAACACTAACTGCAGGTCCCTGAACCACGTTTTGTTTTTTTCAACAAACAGGAAAAATCCTAAGTAGCAAAAGGCATTCTAATTAATGGTCCTGAGCTCGTTTCTACCTGCATAAACGATTCACAAGTAACATACATGTTAAAATGTCCCCTTCAGCCTCAAGTCGGCCAATAAAACTTATGACTGGTGCAATTTGACAACCGGCTGTTCCTGCTTTGCCTCCAGTACAGTACAGTACAAAACAGTACATTGGGGGGGGGGGGGCTTTGCAGACTCTGGGCTCCGGGGTGTTGTTGATGCTGCTTCGCTCCGCCTCTGGTGGACTGATTGGCTGAGCTGTCATGTCGTTCCCCCAGCTCTCTTCCCCACTGGCCAATGCGCACAAAGCCCTCTCTGCACCCTCAACGCAACTGTATTCAGAGATACGTGCCTTTGTGCTCTAGTACGACGCGACCCAGGGCAGCCCTGTTCGCACACACAGCTCATCTCCAGATGCGTCTGGCCCTGGCGGGTGTAGCGGCTGAGATGCTGAGCGGCGCAGCCAGCAGAGCTAGGCCGAGGCTCGGCACCTTCTTGCTGGCCCCCGCCACCAAAACAGTGCCGCCGCTGGCAGGCACGGGGAGCCAGAGATTTCGGTCAACGTCCTCGATGCAGGGATATTCAGAGATGGCGCGAGAGCGGTCGAAGACTGTCACGTCGTTTTATAACCAGTCTGCAATAGATTCTTCTGCAGAAAAGGTAATAAATGTGACGGGTTCCCGGTCTTTTCTCCTGAAAAGGTCTCAGAACTCTTGGGTAACTAAGCTAGCTGTAGCTAGCTGCGGCTGGGTTGTGCTACGTTCAGGGGCAGGTGGAAAAACAGTGACATGCTGCTACTTAAAAGAGCAGTGCTTTAGCCTTCAGAACTAATGTTTTGTCAGTTAGAAGCTTAAAAACGAATTCCTTCTATAAGAGGAATAAAGCTGTCACCTACATTGCAGTGTCTGTAGTTGTAATTTGTAATTTTCCTTTAATATTTCGGAGATTCCTCTAGCAAAAGAAAAGAGCGTGCTTTGTTCTGTTATTTTGTTGTTGTTGTTGTTTTAAGTCATATAGTGTATTGAATTATAATGGTCTATTTAATAATAATAATAATTCAGTAATAATGTAAAGCGGCTGACATACCGAAGACCTGAACGCAACGCCCGGGTAAATTTATCTGCAGCCTGCTGAGCTTCTAGACAAATTATAACGTCGGTTCTTTGCTGTCGCTGATGTTTACCGGACCAGACGAGGTGCCAACGCAAAATTGTAATATTAGCTACACTATAGACATAAGACGATTGTCCAGTAACAGGAGACTTGATGGTGTAAAGTTTCAGCGATGGAGCTGAGCTGACGTTGCCCCAGTTAATGAGAAGCAAGTCTAACAATCTGTTCTGCCAATCTCTAAAATACTTTGCCTTAAAGTGAAATAAAATAAAAGAAAGAAAACACAACTCCTGAATGAATGTCGCCATGTTAACTAGTATTATTATTATTGTTATTGTTACCAATAAAAATAGCATAGATGCTTTTCTTCCTCCTGGCTCAGTTTTGTTTTGTTTTTTTGGTCACATTCTTCAGTTTTTTTTCACTTACTTACTTACTCACTTACTGGAGTGAATATAAGAAGTACTCTTACAGCAAAAAAGAGGAAGGAATTGAAATATTGAAACAAAACACTACCCAACGACAACATTTTCACTTTACGTTAGACAAATGTTATTGTTTTGTACAGTGATATCGATGCGATGGCTTAATGTTTGCATCAGTATACATAATGTAATACGACCAATCCAGCAGATTGTTGTTTCCAGTGGGTCCTACCTGCGGGTGTAGGACCCAGTGGACCTACTGTAAAGATTAGGACTGCACTGACATTACTTAACATTTAGATCCTGGAGCAATGAGTAGTGTTTTTCCACTTGTACATTCTCCACTTGTACATTCTCCACTTGTGCATGTCGGTTTAGCACTGGAGTGTCAGTGTCCTTTTGGGGTAAACACAGCTAGAGCTTATAAAACTGATGCCTGTTTGACTTAGGTGTGCCTGTTAGGCTCCATTTATCCTGGGTTCTAACTTGAGATCTGTTCCCAGATCTGTAGACCATCACCAGGCATACAGCTGTGCATTCTGCTTGTATTTACACAATGCTTTTTACTTGTGCACCTGCAAATTGCATCTTACTGTGGGGTGTGAATGAATGTTATTGACTGGACCTGCAATTTAAAGATGCATTATTCTAACAGTTACTACAGTTTTTATGTTTTTTATCACACTGTAGTATGTTTGATTTAATCAGGCTACTGCAGTGATTCAACAGGAAATCCAATCCCAAACCATGAACCATTTCTTTAGTGTTCTTGTCTTTCTAGCTAGCTCAGATTGTGCTACTGGCATCTCGCTGTGGCACCCTCAGATCCATTTTGGAGCTGATGCCACGACTTGCTCCAGCTGGTGAGCAGAGTTGGAGTGCTATAAAGTACTGGAGCACACCGTAACATTGCATGCATGCATGTGCACTGTTATAGTGCACATGCCTGTGGTTGGTGAAGTTGTGTCTCCGTTGTAAGGTTTTATAATGTGGCAAGTTTACATACATTAGTCAGTGATGACTGAGCACAGTATTAAATGTTAGACTTGCTTTACCACAGTGACTTACCTCCATCTTAGCCTCTGTAACTATCACTGTCAGACACTGACTTTATCTGAGAGATATATATCTTCCCTGTCTTTCTATCGATAATTTTTTCTTTAAATCTGATTATATTCGAATCGATATAGAGATGGAAAATAATTCTTGAAAACAAACGTACTCTTACAAGAAAGTCCAACAACGATGTCTAGGTGATGTTGAAGCTGTAATGAGCTGAACATGGTTCTCTGTTGGCAGTGCGTTAGCAGACAGGATAGCTAATTGTGGGCTGTGTGTAGAGAAGAGCGAAGTTCTAACATTTAATTGCATTTAAAATAATGAAGGGAATTAAAACAATTATCAGAACTGTGATTTAACAGTCTTAAGGCTTTGTTTTAACTAATTGAGTCAACAAAATCTACAGGCCTAGTCAGTGATAACAGGTATCACGAAGCTGGTTATCAACTTTCTCTGCAGACCAGTTTTTCTGCTTCAGGCTCTGTGTGTGCAGATATGAAGGGAGTGTTTCATGTGTTCTTTCTATTATCTACAGCACCAAAATGGACCAAATGAGAACATAATAATACACTAAGCAAATGCATCATTGTTGCTGCAAGCACATCAAAATAGCAGTGCTGTTTTGTACATCCATATCCTGCCTTCGACATTAGGCTTGGCCTCACGAGAGGAAATAAAACACACAGTCATGCAACGAGCGTATAACAAGCTGAGTTTTAGATGTTTTGCTCCGAGCACTTTTGCAGTTTTTTCAAAGTGCCCAGAGCTTTTAGTCTCAGGAACCTTTCTTTCACGACCAGGCAAATAAGTTCACAGACAAAAAAAGTTGCTAATGTTTTTACATGTGTGACTTTTTAGAAATGTAGT